AACCCGCCACCTTAGGTGTATGTGGCTGGCGCCCTAGCCACTGGAGCCACAGGCGCCGAGCCGGTTTTTAGCTTTTGCATGGTATTTTCGCTGTCCCTTTTCTATGTCTAGCATTGTGTTTCAACTGCCTACAGTATTCAGTATGGGCACATAGCCCATGTATGTAGAGCGCTGGCCATGCCATCTACTGTTGTATAGGTACATTCTGTGATACTCCTGCAAGCACAGCATGGCCTAAAGATATTTCTCTGCCGGGTCCCTCCTGTTGTGAGAGGTGTGATTGTATTTCCCTGGGGGTTTCTTTGCTATCTTTTCCATGTAGAAGTAAATACTCAAACATCCTCAACTACAGGCACTGAGTAAACATTTGCTAGATGGAAGTGTAAATGAAGGAGCAGTCAACTGGCCTGGAGATGGGATTCAGGAGTCATCTCTTTCATCATTTGGTCTCACCTCCTGTGTGCCTCTCAGCACTTTACAGTTAACTTTTTTTTTTGCCGTTTTTTTTGCCTGGGCTGGGTTTGAACCCACCACCTCCAGCATATGGGGCCGGCGCTCTACTCCTTTGAGCCACAGGCGCCACCCTACAGTTAACTTTGTTTTATGAGTACAAGGAATAAACTGGAAATCAATGATCAATGATCTTCTGGGCAGATCTCAGAATCCATGGTGATTCTAGTACTCACTCCAGTTTTATCTGAGACACATCCATTGTTTCTGACACCAGAGGACAGCCAATGTCTGACTTCAATTGTCTTATTCTTAAGTTGTCTTCTGCTGATTTTGGAGCCTGAAAAGAGAACTCCATGCCTTTTTGCAGGTAGTTCATTTGGGAAGTGATCCCAGAAAGCAGAGGTGCAGCCTGGGGCAGTGCAGCCACCAGTGCAGGGACATGTGGGGGAGGTGGCTGGTCCCAGAAACAGAGGTGCAGCCTGGGGCAGTGCAGCCATCAGTGCAGGGACATGTGGTAGAGGTGGCTGCTGCCAAAGGCATCTGCAGGCCTTTACAAGGGACTTAAGAAATGTTTTTCGGAACCACCTGCCCAGTATGAAGGAGAAAAGCATTTATCCCATTCCTTGTGGTCCAGGAATGCCATGAGCATGAACTCCCAGCTCTGTACCCAGCTTCTTAGTCTCGCTTGGATGAGTACTGACTGGGACCTGTGGGCACCCCACACTGCAGCCTCAGAGGATGATCCCTGGGGCACCAAGCAGTGGACACCAGCAGGGGGCACAATGTGCACCCTGAGGCAGTCTGCACAGCCTTGCCCAGCACAAGGGCTGGAGGAAGGTGAAGTTTCATCTGCTGGGGACCCCGCGCAGGTCGTGACACCTCCCTCTCCATGTGTCCTGGTCCTTCTTCTGTACAATGGGAAACTTCACTTCCAAATGAAATGCTAAATGTCACCTTGCTTGGCTAAAATAAAAACATGGCATACTGTATTATTATTGTGACCAAATCTGGTGGAGAGGACCCACAGATACAGAACCAGAGGGTAGAATCCCATCCTTTCATTTTATAGGTGAGGGAGCACAGGTTCACGAGGTCAAGGGCATTTGTGGACATTCATGACAAGGGGGCTAGAATCTGTTTTCTGACTGCCTGTGGACAGCCCTTCCCAGCACAACTGCCCTCTCTCCCTGTCACTGTCCCAGAGGCTGGGTGTGTCTCCTCATTTCTCACGTCCTTTAATGCAACAGTCCTCAGAAGGGGCTTTCTACACCTTAGAATCTAATTGTGATGTTGGACAGGCAGATGCATCAGTCTCCATGAGGACAGGGCCGTTGCCCCTCCCTGGGAGTGGCCTTCTTTCTCACCAGCTCTCTGATGGAAGGGGCCTCACGCTCACTAGCGTAGCTCTTGAGATCTTGAGAAGAACTTGGAAGCTTGGAAATTGTCTGAGAAAACTTGTGAACATAAACAAGGTAATATCTGTGTCTGGTGACTTCAGAGACTTGTTTCAAAATAGAACAAGTCCTAACAGCATTCACGTATTTGCTTCATTTAGCAAACTAGAAGCTGTGTTCAAAATACCTCCTTTGTTATCTAAGCAAAAGAGTCGGAAACTGGCCAGCTTCAGACCTCTGCCCCGTCCCAGGATCTGTCAAGTACCACAGATCACTTTACCAGGAAAGACAGGAAGAAGAAAGAGGAACTGTCTGACAACCGAGAAAGTCAGAATCTTATAAGTTTTGTACTGAGTTGAAACAAAACTGATCAATGCTTTGAACATGAGGAGTATTAATACCTACAGGTTTTTGTTTTTCTTCTTTTCCTGTTCTTCCAGTATGGCCTCCTATAAGGATAAACATAAATAGCATTCAACATTAATCATAGATCAGTAGGAACAGTGTACCCAGTAATTCAAGATGTTTTCAATGTCTAAAGCCTTATTCTGTAAGATTCTAATTATAATAAATGAATTTGATATTAATTATCTAATAAGCAATTGAGAAAATGAAATTGGGGACTGGGAAGAGGGAGTGGAGATAGTAAGGGTATGATAATTCAAATTATCTAATTGCTTTTTTTCTCAAAATAGGGCACCTTTTAGCTGTCTGTGCAGTTCAGGAAACCCAAATCTCTGGATGCTGTGGATTGCATTATCTTCTTCTAAGTTAAAAATAAAGTCTACAGTCCCCACATCTATGTATTTGTTTCTTTTCAGGTTAAATATATATAATACGGTAACAACCCATTATGTAAAGTTAACAAAAATATGCAAACTAAAAATTTTTTAAAATGGAATTGAAAAAGAGAAGTTTCCCAATGTTCTGTCCACACTCCGTGGGTCATCTGGTGCCTGTCCTGGGGCATGCCCACCTCCCTTTGCAAACAACTGCCCTGGATGACGAGCAGACTGGAACTGACATGCTGTGGTCTGCAGAGTCTGGACCCCATAGTGGCCCCCACCCGGGCAGGCTCACTGACTCACCCTGATGCTGTTCACGATGGCGGCTGTCTTGCTCTCTGCAGCCTCTGGGTTTCCAATGAGGTAATCCCAGGCACAAAACACCCGCCAGCAGAAGGTATAGTTTTCATTGGAAGCACTGGCAAGGCTTGTGCGGGAGTTCTTAGCCATCCTGCAAAAAGGGGTCACAGGAGTCTCAGGGATATGATTGTCCGTGGACTGGGGGAACTGTATGAATTAGAAAAAGCTACTCCTGCTGGGTGGACGGAGCTTGTCTGGTCACTGCTGGGCAAGCAGAGCACTGGCTGGATTCTGGATTTCGCCCACACCTGTGCCCCCAGCCCACACTTCTGAACAGTGTGAAAACGGCAGAGGCCCATTGTGCCAGTTCATTTGGCGAGGAGTCTCAGCACTGCCATGGCCAGTTGCTGCAGGTGTGTGTCCCCTGGGGGCTGCTCTTGCCAGCCTCTATGTAACTGTGATCATGAAGTGAAATGCTCCCCTTTAAGCTGAATCAATCTTCTCGTGGGGTCTCTAACCCTGGGACCCCACAGAACATGCTGGGTCCCTCTAGCACACAGCATTCCTATAGGTATTTGAAAGAAGAATCCTGGTCCCTCCTCAGGGGACGCTTCTTGCCCTTTAGGCCATTTCTTCTGTTGCAAGAAGTTTGCCCTGATTTGTCTCTTAAATTGTAACATCTGGTAAAGGTCCCAAGTCTTCCAGCTGGGGCCTCAAGACTGCCAGAAACTGAGCTAGAAAACTTTGGGAAACTGGAGCCCCTAAGCCACTGTGCACCTTCTCAAGTTTTGTTTATTTACTTGTTTACAGTCTGGTTTTTAAATTCTTTCATCTGCACTTTGCTAACATGCCACATGGGGGCAGTGGTGAGGCGTGATCGTCTAAATCAGACAGAAGCAGCCTGGGAGCCAAATGGTTGGGGGCTAAGTTCTCCCTGGGGTTTGGAGCCCTCCACTGTGGGTCTGCATTTTTCTAGCTCCTACACAGACACAGGTTAAGCTGGAAGGAAACCTGGCGATTTCCTGAGCCAACCTACACATTTTACAGATGAGGCCAGGGAGGGACTGTGGTGAGTTGCTGCAGGTCTCATGCCGGGTGGGGCAGCACTCTTAACTCCGGCTGGGGGCCACCTCTCTGTGGTGAAGTGCAGGGGTCAGCTGCAAGCCTGGCCTTTGCAGAATTTGTAGCTAGGTCGCAGGCAAACCTACAGACAGGGAGGACGTTTTGCTTTCTGCAAACTCCGTCAACTAGATCAGGTTTATCTCTCTATTGGTTCAGCTAATGCATAATTCTTCATCTATAGGATTCTTGTCTCTCCAGGCCCAATGCAGAACCTGCCCACGCAGGAAGTGTTTGATAAGTACGAACATGGTTCAAAATGGACCTACCTCATTTAGCCTTGGTCTCCTCACCTGCAAAATGGGTGAAGTTAGTTTTGCTTTAAATTACAGAATTACCAACAAGATTAAATGAGATCATACATATCATGATTCTTGAAACATATTTTGAGAAACAGAGTAGTCATACTTTCTTAAGAGAATGATGAAACTGTAAGCAAACACTGCCATCCCCACCAGGAAATAAGCCAAGGGCAGCCGGTAGCCGGCTCTCCCGATCCTCCGCTCCCTGCCGTAGTAGCCGTAGAACAGGACTGAGTACTGGAGGTATCCCTGCAAACAGAAGCTCAGTGTCATCTCTGATCCCCAGGTCCCACAACAGTGGCCCATTCACCTTTCCCTCAGGACAGGTGTGACCAAGTGTCAACCTCACCCCCAGGGACCAGACGGTGTCCAGGTCTTGGGCCGAGGCAACGTGCTCCTTGGGGATGGTCTTCCTGGCTGTGCTTCCAAAGGGCTGGCCTGCAATCAGCTGGGGAGAGAGGAAAGGGTGTCATGTGGTCTTCCAGGGCACAGGGGACCAGAAGAAAAGGGGAGGAACACATGAGATCTCCAGGGGGTGGCCTTCTCTGGCCTTTCACTGATGGAATACACACCATGGGGAGCCAGTTTTATTTTTGCCTCATCAGAGTCTGCCTGCATGTGCTCTTTGGGAGCTAGACATGGATTCTAGGGACATGAAGTCCCAAGATTCTTACAATGGCATGGGAAATGGCCCATTTACTGTGTGAGGATGAAGTTTAGTTGAAAAATGGGTTTTAGGGAGGCGCCTGTGGCTCAGTGAGTAGGGCGCTGGCCCCATATACTGAGGGCGGCAAGTTCAAACCCAGCCCCGGCCAAACTGCAACAAAAAATAGCTGGGCGTTGTGGCGGGCGCCTGTAGTCCCAGCTACTTGGGAGGCTGAGGCAGAAGAATCGCCTAAGCCCAGGAGTTGGAGGTTGCAGGAGCGACTCCGCTGCACTCTACCAAGGGCAAAAAAGTGAGACTCTGTCTCTACAAAAAAAAAAAAAAAAGAAAGAAAGAAAGAAAAATGGGTTTTATATTAACAGAGGGTTGGCAAATAAGCCAAATCCAACCCATCACCACCTTTTGTATGGCCCAAGAGCTAAGGATAGTTTTTGGATTTTTAAATAGATGGGGGGAAAAAATCAAAAGAATAACATTTTGTGACACATAAAAATGATATAACATTCAAATTTCAATATCCACAAATAAGATTTTATTGGAACACAGACACTGGTTGGTGTATTGCTGTGGCTGCTTCTGCACGATGTGGCAGCTTTGAATAGTTGTGACAGAGACCAAATGGGCCACAAAGCCTGAAATATTTACTCCATGGGTCTTTACAGAAAAAGCGTGTCAACTCTGTTTCAACACACTCACTGCCCTTCCTATCAGGTAATGAGGGAGGTCATTTTATGCTGAGGCTTTCTTTATCTTCTCTTCTTAAAGCACAGTTCTTTTTTCTCTCCTGAAACAGTTCTTACCTCTGGAATCACAATGAAAGCACCTGTCATGACGGTGAGCACAATATTGATCCCAAACAACCATCTCAAGAATATGAAATAGGAGGCCACACCAGATCCAAAATGACCTGAAGGAAGAAGACCATGAGAGCAGGTCATGCAAGGTGCTCAGAGCGCGAGAAGCCCCCATGAAGAATGGCACAGCAGCACACGGAGTGAGAATGCCAGAATATCAGCAGCACACGGAGTGAGAATGCCGCCGCGGCACCAGTCAGGGTGCTCCCCCCAGTGGCAGTTTCCATGGCTCAAGATGCCCACGAACATCCACTAGTTCTATATGCAGGAAGATCCTCACTTTGTGTAAAATGCCACTTGGAAATCCTCTCTCTGATGACATCCTCATCTAAAAGGGCCTTACCTGCCTATCAACCCAGGAATGGATTAACCAACTGTGGTATATGTATACCATGAGATATTATTCAGACATAAAAAGATGGAGACCTCACATCTTTTGTATTAACTTGGATCGAGTTGGAGAACATTCTCTTTCGTAAAGTATCACAAGAATGGAAAAGTAAGTATCCAGTTTACTCAGTACTATTATGAAGCCAATAGATGAACTAATACATGCATACACAAGAGAAAAACTCAATTTAATTCAAATTAGGGAGAGGGTGGGAGGAGGGAGGGGATTGGTGTGTTCTGACAGTGGGCACAATGTAACCTATATGGCACGCTCCTTGGGTGTGGGACACAACTACAACATGGATCTTACCTAACAAACACAAACATGGTAACCTCAAACACAATCATCTGTACCCTCAGATCAATCTGAGATAAAAATAAAAAATAAAAATATGGTATAGTCAAAAGATAGAATAAAAAGGTCTGACCAAATTCATAATAGTTCATATATGTTAAGAAGTGTCGGCCTCTTTTGAGAATTTGATATATTCATTTTCTATTTTGTATCATTTTGAGAATTCTAAGGATTTTCTCAACGTCCCTTTGCCCTCGTTTCAAGTTGAACAGTTTGCTAGATGTCAACAATAGGGGAAACTGGCTGATGGCACAGGGGAGCACGCCCTGTGACTTTTCTGTACACCTGAGCTCATTCCAAAATAAAAGCATAGTAAAAAATGTTGATTGAGAAAATCCAGGAGCACAAAAGTTAAGTGAGAATGAAGGTGGTAATTTCATTGCCTTCTGGAGTAGGTGGATTTGTGTCATACTCAAAAATCTCTTGAATTCTTATTTCAGTTTACATTTGTCTAAGTAGAAAGACACAGAACATCACAAGAATAACAAAAAAATTAACCTATTCTAAGACCACTAAATTGAAGTCACTACTAGAGTTATTTTAAACTTTTAGTGTTACACTCCATTCTTATTCTGTACTTAGAACATTTTGTATAAAGTTGGCATCTCTCTACAGCATGCATTTTCTGTTATCGATATATTGCAAATATTTTCTCTTGCCAAAAATATTGTTCTACAAAATGAATTTGATTGTTTTGTCAATGTGAATTTTCCATCATTTATTTAACCCATCCCTAAATGTCACTTGACAGGAAGTTTCCAGCCTTTCAGCAGGATGAGTAGTTCTATAATAAATAATTCTTGTCTGAGGTCAGATTTGCTAGAAGCAGAGCTTGAGAAAGGGATTTACTTAGCTGTGCAAGATTGGTGTGGGAGGTGCTCTCAGGAGAGTGAGTGAGGGCAGTCGGGGGAGTCAGGGAAAAGAGCCAAGCAAGGATGCTGTCTCCACTGGAGCCTGGCTCAGTCTGGCCCCACGAGGAGCTGTGGAGCTTGGACTGCCCCACAGGGTTGGCCCCATGTGGAGCCAGGGGTCAGACTTGAACGCTCTCTGTAGATAAGTCTTTGGGTGTAGGTGGGCTATGGGGTGGGATGACATGTGCCTCACGTCTGGTCAGCCAAGGGCAATTCCTAGAGAAGGGAGCAGCTGGCATGTGGAGCAGCCTGCACTCAGAGCAGATGGGAAAAGGGACCAGCTAGGGAAAGAGGCCTGAGTGGGGAGCCAGCAGCATCCGCAAAGACTTGGTCATGAAGCGTGCTGTAGTTTCCTGGTTGATTCCCCTGGTTCTTAGGAAATAGAAGCATTTTATCAAAGGACAAAAACATTCTGCCAACTTTTGTTACATATTATAAATTTGCTCTGGAGATACTGTCCCAATTGACATTCCTACCAGCTGTGTATGAAAGTGCTTAATTCTATTTAAATATTGAAAATGTTTTTCCCAATTGGTCATCTAAATTATAGCTTTATTTTTTGTTTTGTTTTGGTTTTATTTGAGACAGAGTCTTACTCTGTCACCCTGGGTACAGTGCTGTGGCGTCATAGCTCACAGCAACCTCAGACTTCTGGGGTAAAGTGACCCTCTCGCCTCAGTCTCCCAAGTAGCTGGGACTATAGGTGCCCACCACACTAACTAGTTTTTCTATTTTTAGTGGAGATGGGGTCTCGCTCTTGCTCAGGTTGGTCTCAAGCTCCTCTCCTGAGCTCAAATGATCTACCTGCCTTGACCTTCCAGAGTGCTGGGACTACAGGCATGAGCCACTATACCCAGCCACCTTTATTTTTCATGTACATAATTTTTTTATGTAGTCAAGTAGTATAATAATACTTTCCACGATGATCCCTTTTTTCACTTTTATGATTTGATCGGTCTCCATTCTCTGATAACATCATCTCTATTTTCTTAAATTCTTTCATTGTGTATTTAAATAATTCCTATTGAATATTTCTATCATATATTTAAATATTTCCTATTGGATATTTAAATATTTAACAGAATTTTAAAGTGAGGGAATTAAACTTTCTCTTTAAAACAGTCAAATCACATTCTACTCTTAGAAAGATTCACCTGTACCCCTATAAGGTAAACCTCAGAAGTGATCCCTCCAAACCCCCTCCCTCCACCCATTACCCCCTCCCTTCTCCCTCCCCCCTCCCCATATTCTTAGGCTGTTTGGTTATAGCTTTCATATAAAAAGGTTTAAATTAGTTTCATAATAGGGGTGTGTACATTGGATACTTTCATGAGGGCTGTGTTGACCAGTTTGATGGAAGTATTTCAGATTGCATGTGAAAACCCCACACTGTACCCCAGAAGTGCATTAATGTACATAGTTACCATTCAATAAAAACAAAAACAAAAACAAAAACAAAAACCAAAAAAAACAGTCAAATCAATTGTTTCAGCAGTTTTTGTGGAGTCATTTATCTGACTTGAGTAATCATCACACACGGAGGGTCTGTGTGTCTTCTTCTGTGTTCCTGAAATCTTTACTTATTTTTTTTTTATTTGTCAGTCTATTCCTGCACTATGTCATACTCTTTCAATTCTTGTAGCTTTTGGAATATGTTTTAAGGTTTTGGTTACGCAACTTCATTTGAATTTTCCTTTAAAAAGTTTTTTCATTAGATTCTTGGATATTTCTCTTCTATGTAAGTTTTATGATCATTTTGTTGAATACTAAAACAATAAATTTGAATTTTTATTGAAATTGTCTTAAACTTCTAACTTGATTTTGGGAAAATCAAAATATTTCAAATATTAAATTTCCCCATGTCTCTTTATAAGACTTTATAGTCTCTGGTTCAATCTTAAGGTTTTCCTTATTTTAGATTTATTGGTTTTTTCTGGCAGTTTGTGTGTGTGTTTGTAAGTGGGACTGTGGGTGTGATTTATTTATTTTTTAGCATCTGTTTTCTAAATGGTCACAGTCATATCTATGAAAATGCAGATTTTTGTATTGCACTTTGCAGTTGCCTGTGCTACCCTCTCATTCATCCTTGCAGGTTTTCACTTGATCTTTTGGAGGTTCGGGTTGTGTCTGACTAAAGGAATGAACTAGGGGAGAACAGTTACATGCCTGGCACTGTTCCCACCCTGGGAGGTGGTGGGACAGGCGTTGTGTCTTCTCTCCCTGTCGTCCCAGGTGGAGCCTGGTGACCCAGCTGTGGGTCGGCCATGATCACTGCATCCCCCCGCAAGTGCAAACACTTACTCTCAATTTTCTTTATTCTCATTTCCCAGGGAATGAAGATGACCATGAAGTTACAGGCAAGACGAGCAAATTTCCGCCAGAGCTAGGAAAGAGAGGCAGGATTAGAGCCTTTCACGTTCGTGAAGAGGACAAGGCTATGTGGCTATAGGGCCCCATATGGAGAGTGGACCCCCTAAATATATCCTCTGCTACCTTTATTTGTGGCTCCATAGGCTGGTAAGCAACTCTAGGACAAAAGTTGCCCCCTTGACTCTCTGGGCTCCTGACCCGGTAAGCAGACACCTGCTCTGGGCTCTGCACCATGGAGCCTGCTGCACCAAGCTTCATCCTCTCTAGGGTCACATCCTGACTTGCTCACACTACACAGACTGAGAACAGTGGGAATTACTCAAGGAATGATGTCTAAGTACTTGACTCCACCATGGACTTGCGATAGCTCTGAGGGTGGGGCCTGAGAATCCACATAGCTAACAAACTCCTCATGTGATTAAAATCATGTTCTTGCTAAAGGACCAAGAATCTAGAGCCCACCCAAAAATGAGGCTTCCCCCGCCCCCGGTTGTATGCCTTGCATCTTGCTGCAGAATAATTTCCTAGCCGGTTATGGTCTGGAAATTTGTATTATTGGTTTAAGATGCAATTGCTAAGTGTTGTATTTTTTTTTTCTCAAAGGAGAATAAAGAAAAATGTGCCCTGATACCAGCTCTGCTCTCCAACAAAGTGGGCAGGTTGTGCATTTTAACACACAAACGATCTAGGCTTGTGCTGGAAGTACATGACATCACTGCAGAAAGAGGGATTACAAATGCAATTACAACATTCTGAACTGCAAGACAGCACATGGTCCCGATGCAGACACACATGGTAATGTCATTCTGGTTGTGTTTGCTAAGGCCAGAATGGCTGCTTGCAAATGAAAATCTGAATGTTATCAGAAGTTGGACTTGTTCACATTTTGTTCATGATTTGAAAGCCAACTCAAGTATCACCACTTCCATGAACACAGATTTTCTGTACTGAGAAATAAATTCTTCTATCTGTGAGCTCCCCCACGCAATAATTTTTGCTTTCTCCTATAATGTTTATCATAGCCTACCTTGCATTACCTTGATTTGTTCACCTGGTTTATCTCCTAGAGCAGGGATAGGGAACCTGTGGCTTTCTAGTCCCTAAGTGCTGCCTTTTGACTGAATCCAAATTTTACATAACAAATCATTCCATTTTTATTAATACATTTTTTGTTTGCCTTTTACACTTTTATTTCATTTTTAAAATGAAGGTATTTCAAATACCAAAGAGTAAAATGAGTTTCAATGAAATAATCCTCTCAGATTGACTGGCATAATAACAACACTAGTAAACTATGAGGACTAAATTGACGGGCTGCTAAGCTCCTGACTGAGTTCTAACATCCCCCACCTGACTAGTGGCACTGCCAAACAAGGCTGGTTGGTGAGCGTTTATGGGGGTCAGGTATAGCAGTCTGTGATCAGATTTTGACAATGGTGCACTGTATTTCTGTTTGAAGTGGAATTTTTTAATAGTTTCACAGCTTGACAATATTTTTAAATTCCATCTGCTTAGCAGCCCATGATGTCAAAGAAGACTGAGAGAATGCTGAAGGATGATTTTTAATGAGGATGGATTAGGAAAATGTGGTGTTATCTTATTTCTGCTAAAGATAAGATGATTTGCTTGCTTTGTGATATGGCAGCATCAACATTAAAGACTAACAATGCTTGTCAGCATTAGAACACTCATAAGGACCGCTAGTATTTTAAATTAGGTAGAGAAAAGTAGAAGAAATTTAATTTCTGGACTGCAGAAATTAAAAGACAAAGACAATTCTTTCAAGTAGCAATAGGACCTTGAAAGTGACAATGCTACAGAAGCGACTTAGAGCTTATGTACCAGGGAAGAAAGGAAGCCATTCAGTGGTGGAGAAGTGGAGAAAGAAAGCATTGTCAAAGTGGTAGCGTGCTTAGGCACCATAACATTTCAAAGTACAAACAGCTGCCTCTTTCAAAAAGAACCATAACTGATCAGGAACATGAATTAGACTTCAACTTAAAAGAACAACTTCATGCAGGACTTCAAAAGGAAAATATGTATTATTTGGTCACTTTGGATGAATGAACTGATACTCTATGCAGACTTTTTTGTTTGTTTGCTTTTGTTTTGTTTTGTTTTTACTTTCTTTTTCATTCCATGAAGGTGTTCATATCTGTGCAGATTTTAGACTTCATTCAGGTCTTTTTGTTTTGGTTGGGGCTGGGTTTGAACCCGCCACCTCTGGTATATGGGGCTGGCGCCCTACTCCTTTGAGCCACAGGAACCGCCCCTTCATTCAGGTCTTAACAGAGGATTTTCTTTGCTGTGAAGAGTTACTTGCTTTGTGCACTGTTGTGAATAGGAACACAGGTAATAGATACCTTCAACAACTTTTAGGATAAATGTCGTGAAGTTGGGCTGAATTTGGTAAATGCAGTATGTATAGAGAAGGCACCCTTCTTTTTTTTGTTTTGAGACAGAGCCTCAAGCTGTCTCCCTGGGTAGAATATTGTGGCATTACAGCTCACAGCAACCTCCAACTCCTGGGCTCAAATGAGTCTCCTGCCTCAGCCTCCCAAGTAGCTGGGACCATAGGCACCTACCACAACGCCCGGCTATTTTTTGGTTGCAGCCATCATTGTTGTTTGGCGGGCCCGGGCTGGGTTCGAACCTGCCACCTTAGGTGTATGTGGCTGGTGCCTTAGCTGCTTGAGCCACAGGCACCGAGCCAAGGCACCCTTCTTGATAGAAAAACATAAAGGGTTTGTTGCATAAATTAGCAAAAGTATTAACAGCTCCCCATGGTCTTATTTCCTTGCCTTGTACCTCGCCTTAGTAAAATCTCTGTGCTAAAGCAGCTATTTTAAGTGATGCTTTGTGACAAGTTATGAGTATTATTAACTATATTCATGCAAATGCAACACGGCATTGTCAGTTTTGTAATGTGCTAAACCTGCACGTATTCCGTGTGGATTTGCCTCATCATTACTGAAGGGCACTGGCTACTGCAGGGACAGGTGTTAGCTAAAATTTCATCTCTGCAAGAACCGAGAGTTACATCTTATGAAGGACAGAGTCAGCAATGTAAGTTATTGAAAGAAGATTTCTAGAGGAATACAGCATTTCTGTATGACACCATGTCAAACGACTTGAGTATGACACGTACCAAAAAATCTAAGCATGTCAAAAAATGTGACCTTTTTTCAAAACACTTCTTAAAAAGGAAATTTTGGATGACTATTTTCATCTGAAGTTTAGCAAAGATCACTGATGAGCAGGGCAAAGTATGTGAATCATTGGAATAATACCCAGCTGTTACAGGCCTATCAATTGGAGAATACAATAAAAGATTCACTGATTTTGAGAACCAGGCAATTCCTCAGATTAGCATTTCAGCCTCACCTAGTCCATATCACCAAGGCACCTGAAGAACCACAGATGGAACTGACTGAGCTCTCAGTAGATGACATTTTAAAGTTATTGTTTGATGCTGAGAAAGATCCAACTGAAATGCAGAAAACTGCAGTACCCATGCCTTCAGCAACATGCCCTAAAAACGCTCTCTTGCATTTTAACCACTTATTGCTGCAAATCTACATTCTCCTACTTAACCTGAATAAAGACACCCTTAAGGTCACAAATGACGGATACCCCTCCGGAGGATCAGCTGAATCTGCAGACCTCCACGCTGCAGCCAGATACTCAAATGCTTTCAATGGAAGCAGACACAACAAGGTCATTAAAATGTTACTTATTTCCCCTTCCCCTTTTTTCTTTTATGAGACAGAATCTCATTCTGTTTCCCAGTCTAGAGTGCCAAGGTATGATCTTAGCTCATAGCAACTTTAAACTCCTGAGTTAACTGATCCTTCTGCTACAGCCTCCCAAGTAGAAAGGTTACTTTACTTGAAAATGAACAAGTAGTTTTTATTTTTAGAAATTATTAAGTACATAGCATTTATATGTGTATAAAATAATGCATATTTTTAACTATTAATTGAAGTTTCTTGAATGTGGCTTTTTAGATTACAGCTAAATTAATGCAGCCTTCCAACGTGCACATGGCCCCTCATCCTAGGGCATAGAAGGAAAGACCACCCTTTCTGACCATTTACCCCCAGTAGAGTCTAGAGGGAGGGGTGCTACAACATCCTCTGGCAAGCTCTGATGTTGGAAAGCATTTGAGTCTCTGGCCCATTTTAAAGTCCTGACATCTAAGATATACTGGGCAGATGGCCAGAACCCAGAATCCTAGCTCTGGTTCCACTTCTTCCTTACTATGCCCAGGGAAAGTTATTATCTTTCCTTGAGATTCTGTTTTCGCATCTGTACAAGGAGAAGTAAGATTCAATGAGTGGCATTCAGTGTGCTCTTTTTATTTAAAATTGTACGAGAATTTTAATACACAAAGCACGTAAAACAGTGTAGCTTTTACAAGTCAGAGAAGCAAGGTCTCCTCTCCTAGTCTCTGGTGTGTGAGAAGCCAGGACCCCCAAACTTAGATAGCACTAAAGTGAATGGCCCCTGGGTTCATTCTGGTGGTGAGAGAGTCTAGCTTTGCCTAACAGAGTTTCTTAGAGGCAAATGTGATTGAAAAGGTGATTTGTTAATGACCAAAGTTTAAGTAAGACATGGGAAAAAATGCCGTGCTTCTCTGATGATTTGTACCAAATCTTTGTGTCAAAGCCTTAATAGTTGGAATAATTCATGATTTTAAAAGCAAAGCAGGCTTGGTGCCAGTAGCTCAGTGGTTAGGCCGTCGGCCATATACAGTGAGGCAGGGGGGATCGAACTCTGCCTGGGCCTGCTAAACAACAATGACAACTGCAACAAAAAAATAGCCAGGTGTTGTGGTGGGCAACTGTAGTCCCAGCTTGTAGGGAGGCTGAGGCAAGAGAATCTCTTAAGTCTAAAAGTTGAAGGTTGCTGAGAGCTGTGATGCCACAGCACTCTACCGAGAGTGACATAGTGAGACTCTGTCTCAACAAAAAGAAAAAAAAGCAAAGCAAAATCAAACTTGAAAGAAATAGCTCCTATTTGTGGGCTTGGGTAATTGAGTTTTGGTAACTAAGAACAAACTCATGTTTTGGAAAGACGTATACATTCATCTGGAATAAATGTATTCTAAACACATGAATGATAGTGTAGGAAAAGTATGTTTACTTGTAGCATGTACCGGCACCTAGCCTGTGTCTTCCCGTGGGTGCAGACAGTGACCAAGATGCCAGCTGGTATGAAGTTTGCATTCATCTAGAGGGAAGGCAGCCTCAAAAAGTCAGAATCACAGTGGAACATGGTTCGTCAGGCCTGAGGGACAGGTTTCTTTTATTAATTAATTTATTATTTTTAGACAGTCTCATTCTGCCTCCATGGGTAGAGTACCGTGACATCATAGTTCACAGCAACCTCAAAGTCCTTCAAGTGATTCTCTTTTTTTTTTTTTTTTTTCTTTTTGAGACAGTCTTACTATGTTGCTGTTGGTAGAGTGCTGTGGTGTTACAGCTCACAGCAACCTCAAGCTCTTGGGCTTAAGTGATTCTCTTGTTTCAGCCTCCCTGTGGCACCCACCACAATGCCTGGCTATTTTTTTGTTGTGGTTGTCATTGTTATTTAACACGCCCTGGCCAGGTTCGAACCCACTAGCCCTGGTGCATGTGGCTCGTGCCCTAATCACTGAGCTAAAGGTGCTGAGCCTCAAGCGATCCTCTTGCCACAGCCTTCCAAGTTGTTAGGACTATGAACACCTGCCAAAATGCCTGGCTTAAGCTCCTGAGCTCAAGCAGTCCTCTTACTTTGGTCTCCCAGAGGACCGAGATTACAGGTGTGAGCCACTGTGCCAGGCTAGTCATTTATTATTTATTTTTATTTACTTATTTATTAGATCTAGGGTCTGGCTGTGTTGTCCTAGGCTGGAGTGATCCTCTAGCCTCCACCCCCAAGTGTATGCCACCACACCCAGCTAATTTTCTTTATTTTTGTAGACTGGGTTTCCCAATTTTTTCCAGGCAATTCTCAAACTCCTGGCTTCAAGCAATCTTCCCACCTTAGCCTCCCACAACTCTGGGATTACAGGTGTGAACCATAGGGTCTGGACCAGAAGCCTCTTTTAAATAAGAAGGTATGGGGGGTCTGGTCCAGAAGCCTCTTTTAAATAAGAAGGTATGGGGGGGGAGTCATATTTGAGCTAAAACTTGAATGAAAAGAAATCAGTACTTAAATGAACTGGAAGAGTAGCTATTTACAGCAGAGAATAGCCAACACAGATCTGTGGGCTAGCAAGAGCTGGGCATTTTACAAGAGGTGTGAAGGAGAGAGGAGTGAGAGAAAAAGTCAAGTTACTTTCATCATTTGAAAAACTATACTTGGTGCTGTGGCTCACTCCTGTAATCCTAGAAGTCCGAGGTGGGGGGATCACTTGAACCCAGGAGTTTGAGGTGGCTGTAAACTAGGCTGAAACCATGGCACTCTCACCCTGGGCAACAGTACAAGACTTGATCTCAAAAAAAATGAATAAAATAAAAAAAATTTTCTGTGGGAGGCTGAGGTGGGAGGATTGCTTGAGCCCAGGAATTGGAGACCAGCCTGGGTAACAGAGTGAAGGTATAAAAAAGTACACATGTCAGTTTTTGTCTGTTAAAATGTCAAACTTAAAATATAGACATAAATTAAAATTGGTGCAAATATTACAAGACTAATCATCCCCAATACCTTTTTATTGTTACATATATTTCAGGTCATCTGAGCTCAAGTGAAGGACCTTGAATTATTTCACAGATGTTTTCCTATAGCTTTTTACATAACTTATTTAGAGAAAGCAAGAAGAGGGCTTGGCCCCACATATGCTTATAAAAAGATAATTTATTCCCCAAGCTCCATCATAACATGACAGGCATCAGGATTCACAGGTGGTTTTGGTTATAAAACTAAATTAGAATTTTCAGAAAGGTTTTGTGAAGAGTAAGAAGGAAAAATGCCAAGGCAGACCTTAGGAATTCTTTGATATCTTATAATTTTTTAGACATGTCAAATTTATGACCAGCTTTAATTTAAACTTTATTAAGAATATTTTTGTTTTGAAGCTGGGTGTGGTGGTTACACTTGAAGTCTCAGCTACTTAAGAGGCTGAGGTGGGAGGATCACTTGAACCCAGGAGTAGCAAACCAGCCCTGGCAATAGAGTAATGATATAAAAAAAGTACCTGTCAGTTTTTGTCTATTAAAATATCACAACAAACTTAAAAATAGATATTGTTCAAAATTGGTGCAGATATTATGAGACCAGTACATTCTCCATTGTGGTAGGTGAACATGGTAACCACTGTACTGTGGACACCTGCTTTCACTGGGGCTGAAAATATAAATTATTTGAAGAATAATCTTTAAAAATTTATCAAGAGCTAGAAAAAATGGATCATTGTCTTTTCTATAGTGATCACAGTTCTAACATTGACCCTAAGAAAGGAATTCAAAAATACAGAAAAATCTCTATGTGCAAAGATGTTCTTTGTGAGATTATTATTAATAACAAAAAATTAAAAGCAACTTAAATATCTGTGAGCAAGCTAATGGTTAATTAAACGAATATACATTTATCTGATGGAATACTACACAATCATTAAAAACAGTAGGTATAAAAACTACATAGCAACGAGGACAAATCCTTATACTGTGGTGTTAAGTAAAACATAAAGAAAAAAATGTTTGCATACTACAATTTCTATGTTGCGGAAACCATGCAATAATTGACCTGAAATCTTTCAAAAGATAAAAGATATTGGGGAGCAGGAAACTTTAAAGAAGAAGTAATTTTCTTCTTTGTTTTCTAAACACTTATGAGAGGCCTTTATACACAGATAATTTCAATGAATGCTAAAATTTAATGCTAAGTAACTCAACGGGAACAACAGAATACAAGAACCTTAGCATTGCTTTGTAAAATGAGCTCTGGAATATGCCTGCAACTTTTCCTTATAAGGGACATAACTGCGAACGGGGACACAGGGATACAGCGACTAAAACCTAAATTTGTGAGTGGGATTAAGTTAGGAAAGAAGCTAGATTATTCTCACCAGGGAAGACATCCCTTTCCTGATGACTTAGGCTTACTTCGAGTCACATAATTGGTAAGCGATGGCATCTGGGAAAGCCATGTTTTGGGACATTCATACTTTCCAGCTCTGCTCCGCAGCTGTCAATGCTGCCACTCGCAACCTACACATGACATCCTGGGGCCGCAGGCGGGGTGGGGAGGAGCGGCGGGACTGGGGGTGGGGGTTTGGGGGACCAGGCCGGCAGGACTGGGCGGGGGCGGAGGTGGGTGGGGGGGACGGGGCTGCACGTGTGCTCCTTACCTCTGCTCCTGCCGCCTGGTAGCCTCGGGTCCTGGTCAGCCTCCCTTCAAACTTCAGCACAATGTCTTTTGCTCGTCTGAGAAAAGAAAAACATAATGGTGAACACAATTGTATCACAGAATTTTCACAAAATATGTAAAAATTCAACAGAAATAGGTCCCTAAATGATTCAGGACAAGAAACTGAGAGAATGGAGTTAAGTACATGTTTCATTTTCTAACTTTTGGATAACAAAAAACTCTTTTAAAAGTTTTCTCTTTAACACTTAAATTGATGAATCAATCCCAAAATGATGGCTTCATACCGAAATTACAACTGAATTTTTAAAGCCCTTCCTTGATTCTGGTGGTTGACTGGGAATCATTTTCTCTGGAAACCCCAGTGAGAGACACTTGCCTCTCAGCTTCTCTGCTTAGCAAACCTCCCCCTGCAGTCAACCCTTCAAAAGTGCAAATCAGATCTAGCTTTAGAAAATCTGTTCTGGTCACCGTGAACAAGAAAGTCACATCTATGCAGGTGTGAACAGCCTGAGTTAGCCCAAACAAATGCCCTTAAAATAGCTTTGTGGATATGACCTGATAAGCCATAAATGTTCAATCCTTAAAAATGAACTGATGTCATTGATATAGTCAGTTAAATCCACAACTAAATGAACAACAGGATTAGAAAATAATTAATGCCACAGACAGCCTGAAGTCCAAGACTCTTAGAGAGATCAATGTTACCTTCAAGGCCACCCAATCTCACAGCACTCTACACACAGAGACCCTCACTGTGGAATGATCAGACACCCTCTGCTCAATCGTGCTCAGAACTGAAGAACTCAGTTCTTCCAGATCAGTTAGTTTGCTAATTCAACATGTTCACCTGCATGGGTGTCCCCGTATGTGTGTCCCAATCAACCTCCCAAGAATGCTCCCTGGTTCTGAGTCCTTCTTTAGGAGACCCAAGGGCCATACTAATTCCCTTATCCACAGACCGGATGATTTCTTCAAAGCACAACCCAACCCAGTGTTTGGTTTTGGACTTTTCTCCCTGTTGTTCCATTGCAATATTCCCATATGCACAGCCCAGCCAGTGCACTGGCTCCACTCAGATGAGAACCAGAGGTTCAGGCAAGGGTGAGGGCAGTGGCAGGGGCGGGTGTACCCAGTTTGCCTGGGGCTGGATTTGAACCTGCCACCCTTGATATATGGGGCTGGTGCCTTATTTACTGAGCCACAGGTGCTGCCCTCAGATAATAGTTAATCATCATCATTTTGTAAACCTTTTTTTTTTTACTTTGAAGCAGAGACTCAAGCTGTAGCCCTGGGTAGAGTGCTGTGGAATCACAGCTCACAACAACCTCCAACTCCTGGGCTCAAGCAATTCTCCTGCCTCTATCTCCCAAGTAGCTGGGACCACAGGCGCCTGCCACAACTTCCCGCTATTTTTGTTGTATTTAGACCAGGGCCGGGTTTGAACCTGCCACCCTCAATATGTGGGGCTGGGGCCCTATTCACTGAGCCACAGGCACTGCCCTCAGATAATAATTATCATCATTTTGAATGACTTAAAAGTCCCGTTAGAACACATGGGTTTTGTTTTTCTGATTAATTGTTCCAGTGATTACTTTGGTGGAATCCCTTTGTTTAATACAGAGAAGTTGGAGTCAGAAATCTCACGTTTAAAGCTTAACTCTAGCTCTCAGAAGATGTGTGCAGCTTGGGTTAGTCTTTTAATATCTCTGAGTATCAGTCTTCTCATCTAATGAATGGACAATGCCATTTGTACTCAAAGAAATGGAAATGATGACATCTGGAAACAGACAAGGAAGCAGACACAGGAGGATTAACCGGAAACTTCTGAGGATGAGTACTGTGGGTGACCATAGCTGTCTGCTGCAGCCACCTGGGGGGTCAGGCTGTTCAGTCTGGAGGTACAGTCCCTGGCCTGGTAATCTAAGGCAGGAACGATTCAACAAGAAAGAAATGAAAGCCTAACAGATGGCAGATGTGGAAATAAAGAGATATCTGCTTGGCATCTAGAGAAGAATCAGAAAAAAACAGATGCAACAGTGGTTCTGCCCACACAGTGCTGCCCAGTGATCAGACGTAGCTGGGCTTCACCAGGAAGGCCACTCCATGGGGCAGAGCCGCTCAGTGGTACAGGCCATGACAGCTTCTCTGGTAACTCCCTTTGCTGTGAGCCCTTTGGCCTAATTGTTCCCCACTCACTCTTAGTGAGGAACTGTTACACCAGATGCAACGCTAAGCACTCACATTTATTCTTGTAGCAAACTGCTATCACTGGACTCAATTAAAGTTGTGCAGAAGACTCATTCTGAATGTGTCTTCAAAGCTCCAGGGCCTCTCCCATAGTTTGCTTCAGCAGGTTCGGAGGGCAACTAGAGATTATGAGGGTTTCTTTTTTTTTTCTTTTTCTTCCCTCCCCTCCCCTCCCCTCCCCTCCCCTCCCCTTCCCTCCCTCCCTTCTTTCTTTCTTTCTTTTGAGACAAAGTCTCACTCTGTCACCCTGGGTAGAGTGCCCTGGTGTCACAGCTCACAGCAACCTCAAACTTCTGGTTTTAAGCGATCCTCCTGCCTCAGCCTCCTATGTAGCTGGGACTAGAGGTGCCTGCCACAATGCCCAGCTAAATTTTCTATTTTTAGTAGAGACAGGGTCTGGCTTTGTTCAGGCTGGTCTCAAACTTCTGAGCTTGGGGGAGCCTCCCATGTTGGCTTAGATTTTGAGTTTTTTTAACTACAGTTCAGCAGTTGACATTTTTTGGAAACAATGTTGCAGGAAGTAAGGGCTATTCCTTATCATCCGTTCAACTTTAAGAGAAAGGAACTATTATTTAGAAAAACTAAGACAATCTCCCATTATCATATGGCTAGAGACTGGTAGAGGTGGTATTCAAATTCAGGAAATCTGTCTTCAAATCGTTAGCACTTAGCTCATATGTAGACACACTCTCCAATAAGACCTTAAGCATCATAATAACTTGACTTGCCATAGAGATATTTTCCCCCAGAGGGAGTTAATAGCCAAGCAACTAAAATGAGCATCTTTTTTTTTTTTAAAATATGGAACGCTTCACGAATTTGCGTGTCATCCTTGCGCAGGGGCCATGCTAATCTTCTCTGTATCGTCCCAATTTTAGTCTATGTGCTACCGAAGCGAGCACATGAGCATCTTTTTTATTCTAATTTATTGCCTTGTTTCCAGTGAGTTTGGAGACGGTGTTAAATCTAGTATTTGGAAAGAAGGCAGAAGATGAAACCTTCTCTACCAACACACACACTCTCAACACCCACACACACAGAGGCACTGGCTGTCTGCACCAGGTAGACCCCTCAGACATCTCTGTGCCTTCTCTGTGCCATGTTGAGAGGGATTGAAGTGTCACCCACATGAGTCTTGGTCCTCATTCCCATGGTCAGGGCAGTGTGGTTTCCCGGGAAGCACACTCAGGATTATCAAAATTGGCTGGGGAGGGCCTTACCTCAGCGCCCTCAACTTCTGCCCCATGGTCCAGGGTCTGCAGCGAATGTTTGCCACAAGATCTTTCTGGAATTGTATATTCTGGAAGATTTGTTCTGGATCATTGCTGTCCCCTGTTTCATCAGCATTAAAGCTGTCATCCAAGCTGCTGAACGGATCAGGGTATTAAGGAGGAAATAAGATTAGTAGAATTGCTTCCAGAAAAGATCATCATCTCGTCCTGGGCAACTTCAGCAGCCCACTGCCCCAGGGTCATCTGCTTAAGGAGTGTGTGTGTGTGTGTGTGGGGGGGGTGTCTACAGAGGTGGAAAGAGGGCTTGCCCTTGCCAGCAGCTCACTGCCCCAGGGTCATCTGCTTAAGGAGTGTGTGTGTGTGTGTGTGGGGGGGTGTCTACAGAGGTGGAAAGAGGGCTTGGCCTTGCCAGCAGCTCACTGCCCCAGGGTCATCTGCTTAAGGAGTGTGTGTGTGGGGGGGGGGG